TTTCAACAACTACAATTTTCTTCATAGATATCGGGTTTATCTAACGTTTATTTTCTACACTTATTTTTATCCTTAATTCATTAAATTATAATAATTAAGTAAATAAGCACATAATTCACATAATTCCTCTTTATTACTTTAAAACGAGTTACAAATATTAACCTAAATTATTACATCATCTTTAATGCTTAGCCCATAAACACGGACGTTACATATTTCCTCTATTTTGACATTTGATTGTTTCACTATCTTATCAGGTTGCCCTTAAAAGAAGTATTGAGTCATCACTCACTCACTGGGAGTTCATCATTTGAGTGGCTTCAAGTTTTTAAAATTTTTTTCGTTTTTGAAAAAGTATTGGATAAACTTATTGATTCAGTTTTTATCAAACATTTTTTGGAATTAAAATGGTAAAACCGTCTTTCTATGCATTCAAATGATGTCAGATGTAATTGGAGTTATTGGAATAACGTTTTACTTACATTTTTAACCCATATAGGCACTGCACTTAGATGTTTTGAAGCCCATCTTGATTTCAGATTGTTTCATTGTTTTGAATCATATCTGTTGTACTTTGTTATTTCTATCAAAATATAGCATTGTACTTTTAATTTGTAATATAGTCTTAATTTGCTTATTACCGAAGTAAACCTCAAATTATTTTCTAATATAGCATTATACTATTGATTTTTGACTGGAGTCTTAATTTGCTTTTTATAGTAGTAAACCTCCAAACACTATATAACTAGGAAGAAAAAGAGTATGTATGTTTCAGTTTATGGCAAATGAAAGAATCAAAAGCCCATAATCAGCAGAAAGCTATGAAAATTACCAATCAATGAATTGTTTAATCTTTGTCCATTGTTCAAGTTTCTGCACACAATCTTGAGTCATTGTTGCTTTTGGTTTATACTTTGAAATAAATTTCACTATTCTGTTAATTCTATATGTCAATCACCGTAAATATTTATGCTTCTCTTATCAAATACGTTGATAAGAGATTGGTACTATTTTTTATTATAATATAAAACTTTAACTATATAAAAGATGAAGAATGACATATTTCAACAAGTTGATCAAACTAAATTGGAAACAAGATACAAAAGCGGAAAAATACGTTTAATCACACTAAACTAGAATTCATAAAAAAAATGAATTATATTGCTAATTATTGCATTTAGGAAAACAGTGACATTTATTTTTTATATAAATCCAATAAATGTAAAACTAAACTGTAACAATGCACGGTGTTATTATTATTATTATTATTATTATTATTATTATTTTATTTATAATAATTATTATTTTTCTGTTGTTGTTGTTGTTGAAATGTAACATTTTTATATGAAATATTAACCAAAATATTATAAGTAAAACAATCCCACACATGTATACATTATGATACTAATTATTAAAACTTAAATCAAAATAAACTTGGGTTTGTATTTTATTATTCATGTTAATAGCAAAAATGACCATAACCAGAGACAACATGTTTACAAAGAAAATTAATAGTTGGAATATAAATTTTTACCGCACGCTAAAATAAAGAAATCACCAGCTGTTAAAAAGGAACTATTCACCATATGTTGTATTTTTATCTGATATTTTTTTTTCTCGAAACAACCTGCCAAAAACACTAATCGCCAAAATAAACTATCTCGCGCCGCTGCATCATGCGTATCCTACTAGTGTGTGTGTGTGTGTGTATATATATATATATATATATATATATATATAATATATATATATATATATATATATCCGGTAAGAAAAGTTTTTTGGTAGGAAGATAAATTTTTTTTTTTGACTTATTTTTTTGGCGAACAAAACAAATGAATCACTAAATGAATCAATAATAACATCATTCACCAAAAAAAAATCCCGAAAAAACATTTCGATGATTCATTTTTATGATGATTTTGTTGATATTCACTAAAATTGTCATAAAAGTGATTTTTTTTCTTGATTTACCTAAAAATGAATCATAAATGTGTTTTTTTTGAAATTTTTTCTTATGAATGATTCATTTCATTTTCTTGCTAAGAAAACTACATATAAAAAATTTCTTACCTTCATACCAAAATTTTCTTTCTTATTTGATCTTGACTTTCTCTCTCTCTCTCCTCTATATATATATATATATTATATATATATATATATATATATATATATATAATATAATATATATATATATAATATATATTATATATAGGGAAAAGTGAATATACCCTTAAGGGTATATAAGCTTAAGTACCCAAACACATCATAATACGTCGTTTTGTTTGATATATTCATTATAATGTTCTTAAATTTCAACCCGCAACGTTATTTACTTTCAATATTTTCAAAATTTCATTACGATTTTTCTCTTTTATCACATCTTTTTGTCGAACACCTACTAGGCTTTATATATTGTCGTTGAAAATGAAAATTATTTAAGAGAAAGATAAATGTGTAATTTATGAAAATCATGGAAGTAAATCAAGTTAGATGTTAAATTACATGAACATGGTACAATTTGAATGTATTATATGAGATAAAACGATGTAGTATCGTGAGTTTAGGTACCTAAGCTTATATACCCTTAAAGATATATTTACTTTTCCCATATATATATATATATATATATATATATATATATATATATATATATATATATATATATATATATATATATATATAATTTTGCATTTTAGTAAGCTTTGTAAAGACGCATGAAATCTTGATAGAAGAAGAGTTTTCACACAAACCAGAAAGATGCTATAGAAAGGGTTAGCATTTTGTTTTGGAAAAATATTATATATAATGTGGATCCCATTAAAGGGGATCACTTCGGTCCTATTTCACGGTGAATATTCAATTATATATGTAAAGGATATTCTCTTTATATAAATAAAATAAAAATCCATAATATGTTTTATGTTATTATTTCTGTTAGACTCAAAAGCATGCATAATATACCTATATTTTGCTTTGGGGTTTATTGATATGTTTTTCTTCATTGATATTTTATTATTAGATGCAAAAGCATGTATAATATCCAAAAAAAAATGTGTATCTTAAGGCATAAAAAAACACTAACATGTGGCTTGATGTTTTTTTTTGTTGTGGTGCATATGATATGATACTGGTTATCATAGTACACTCCAAAAATTACAAAACTATGTGACGGCATCCGAATCATGGCTCACTATTTGTTAAATAGATTCAATTATACCTTGCTTTCCAAGCAGTGCATTTTCAGAGGCTTTTAGATTATGTTTGACCTGCCAAAACTAGTTGATAAGCTAGCTTATTTTTTGAGTTTTTTATGTTATCGTGTTTGCTAAGCGAAAAAGTAACTTATAAGCTAGTTTTTGAAAAACTACTTAGGTTGTGTTTTGCGTGTCACAGCTAGCTGATAAGCTAGCATAGTTTTCGAGCTTTTTTATGTTGTTGTGTTTGGTAAGCTAAAAAGTAGCTTATAAACTAGCTTTTTGAAAAGTTACTTAGATTAGCTTTTTAAGAGCTTTTTTATAATTTCCCAAATACATCACTTAATTAATTATAGAAACACATAGTCTTACATGTCCTTTTATGTAATTTTATATATTTCAGCTAGCTTTTCAGCTAATTTTACCAAACGTTATTTTTTATCAACTAGCTTTTCAACTATAAGCTAGCATTTTATTTAACCACTAGCTTTTCAGCCATTAGCTAGCTTTTCAGCTAGTCTGTTAAATATAGCCTTAGATTAGCTTCTTAAGAGTTTTTTTAAGATTTTCCAAGTACACCCCTTCGTTAATTATAGAAACACATATTCTTATATGTCCTTTTATGTAATTTTATATATTTCAGCTAGCTTTTCAGCTCGTTTACCAAATGTTATTTTTTATCAACTAGTTTTTCAGCTATTAGCTAGTTTTTTTTATTTAACAGCTAGCGTTTCAGCTATCAGCTAGCTTTTTAGCTAACACCCAACTTTTTAGCTAGTATGCCAAACATAACCTTATAATCTTCCGTAAGGTTTTCCACAATGGAAACGCATGGTTAACATGTTGACTGGGTCGATCCTACTTAATCCGACCCGAAACCTTAATAATAAAAGTTTATAAGCCCACATGACTAGTATAGGACTATAGGGCACAAAGTGTGCCTAAATCACATCATTTCAAAAACCTTACATCTAATGTTGTTTAGTAGGATTGGTCTTGAAAATTAAAATAATTTTAAAGGTTCAGGAAGAATAAGAAAAAAAAA